TTAATTATATTTGTAACTTAATTATTTAAAAAAAAAAAAACAAAAAGGAAAGAAACGTTATCATTCACAACATTAAATTAACATACATTGAATTTGATTTTGAATTTATTTATTATTGATCTTAATTTTAAAATAATATCCTATTAAATGAACGTATTACTTTCATTTCAATTTAACAATGAAACCAAAAAAAAAAAAAAGAAAAAAATTGACATTTAATATTTTTCACGAAAATATTTCAAAAAAAAAAAAAAAATTGAGAAAGATAAGTCTTACCAATGTTAGAAAAGACAAAATCGCAGTGATTTTTCCATTCTCATGGATATAACCGTTAGGTTGAAACAAATTCGTGAGAAATGAACACGTTGATGATGATAGTTGTGATAGTTGTTGATGATGATGATGTTAGTGGTGGTGGTGGTGATGGTGTTGAAGGAAACTATAAACCCGACACGTTTATGCAACCGCGCGTAAAAGCGCGAGAAAAGGAGAGATAAATAAGTGAGAAGGAAGGTTTATAAAGAAAGAGAGAAAGAGAGAGAGAGAGAGAGAGAGAGAGAACGGGAAGAATAAGAGGAACGTGTCCGAGAAAAGCGCATCGTTCATCAAAGGATCCCGACACACACCGCTGCAAATTGCAGTGAAATTGCTACGAAATTCGTTACGTCCATCCTCGCCGTTACTTTCATCCTTCTTCTCTTTATTCTTCTTCTTCTTCTTATCCTTCTCTTTTTCTTTTTCTTTTTCTTTTTTATTCTTCCCCTTGTTTTATTCACCTTTTATAACATCTCAATTTTTCTTCATCTTTTCTGCATAAAACAAATTTTCTTTATTCTTAGTTTATTATTTTTTTTTGCTTGCACCCACCCTCCTCCCCCACACACCCCAACAAAATTTTAAAGTATGCAATTGTATGGAAAAAGAAAAAGACAATCCATTTTTTTTTCTAAACCCCATTACTCGTCAATGGTCTTTTTATGGGCCGCATTTTGTGTGAAATGTGTGTGTCTTTTTATTTTTTTTTTTTTAATTACTGCAACTTTAGAATAAAATATATTCGTTAAAATCATAAAAGATGGTACAACTTGTGCATTATAAAAAATAATAAAAGTGTTCCCTATTTTAATTTTAAATTAATAATTAATGATATAAAATAATTTTTATATTTAAATAAAAATAAAAAATAAAATAGAAATAACAATTGTTGTAAAAATAGTTCTATTTGGTTTTGTATTAATATTATTATACAATTAATTAAATATACTTATATAATAATACTACAATATATTATAATATTATACTATATTATTATAATATTAATATTAATATTAGTTAATTAATATTATTAATAATATAAATATATTAATAGAATATTATACTATATAATAATATAGTGTACAATATTATATATAATTAGTATAATTATAATATATTATAATAATAATTATTTAATATAATAATAATAAAATTATAATTAATATATATTATAATATAATAATATATTTTTTAATATTATAATATATATTAATATTAATATTATATTATTGGTACACTAAAATACTTCTATTTGGTTACTACGAATATCCTACACTTAATTTAACTTAATTTAATTTAATTTAATTTAATTCTTTTATTGCATTTTCGTAATTAGACAAGTAATAAGTTAAAGTATTTAATATTGTACAACTAAAAAAAAAAAAAAAACAAGAAAATAATATTTAAAGATTTAATATATTCAAATTTTAATTTAAGATAAACTAACATTTACAATTTGATTTCTAATAATTTAATCATAAAACACTTATACATTTTCATTTTATTTTTTCAAAACATATGAAACAACAAAATGTTAAAGAAAAAAAAAAAATTTTAATTTCAATCTCTCGTAATGATTCGTCGTTATGTATAATTTATAAAATAACAATATGTAAACCAATATTATGAAATTATTGATACAAAAATTAACCACAAATGATAGTATTTATTAAACATTTAAATAACGTATTTAGTGTCAGACCAAAATTACATTGTGGTGTTTTAATAATATTACGAAAAACATCATTTTCCCTCTGACGTTCGAACAATATTAAATATGTACATATAAGTATATACATTGTACATACATATATACATACATACATACATGCATAAAAAAAAGAAAAAAAAATGAAACAACGTGAATACTTATTTAAGTCCTTCGGGCGGACACGATTTTTAACTTTTATAATAATCATTTCAACGTGTGCATATATTACATACATATATATATGTTCACATACACAAAAATGCATATCTGTATAAGAATATATGTATGTAATACTCATTACACATTTCTTCGGACACGAAACGTACAAAATTATATCCACCGGGTAGGATCTTTATTTTGCTGCATTATTTCCAGTTATGGTTCCAGTTATGGTAGACGTTTCTTTCAATTAAAACCCCGAACGACGTAATTACACCTTAAACAACATCAAAGTAACACCATCGAAATATTCACTTCAACCGGAAAGCAACTAAATAGTATGGAAAATCGGTGGTTGGTTTGGTTGCACATGTAATCCAGGAACACCCGTTGGTGTTTTTGATTTTTTTTTTTTTTAGTTTTGTTGACTAGGTGGGGTAAGGTGGAGTTTGGTGAGGGTTGAGGGTTAGGTGTTTTGTTTTAATTTTGATTATATATTCCAAATATTATGGAAAATCAGTATTTGGGTTGGTTGCACATAGAATTAGGAACTCCTTGGTGTTTTTGATTCTTTTTTTTGGTTTTATTGACTAAGTGGGGTAAGGTGGAGTTTGGTGAGGGTTGAGGGTTAGGTGTTATGTTTCAATTTTGATTATATATTCCAAATACTATTGAAAATCGATGGTTGGTTAGTTGCACATGCAATCTAGGAACACCCCTTAGTGTTTTTAATTTTTCTTTGGTTTTGTTTTATTTACTAGGTGGGATGGAGGTTAGGTATTTTATATTAATGTCGATTTTTATTTAATATTTAATTATATATTCTAAATATTATAGAAAATCGGTGGTTGGTTGGTTGCAAATGCAATCCAAGAACACCACTTGGTGTATTTGATTTTTTTTTGGTTTTGTTGACTTGTGTGGGGTGTGATTGTTGTTAGGTGTTTATTTTTAATTTCGATTATTAATAAATATTTTATTATATATTCCAAATACTATTGAAAATCGATGGTTGGTTAGTTGCCCATGCAATCCAGGAACACCCCTAAATGTTTTTAATTTTTTCATTATTTTATTGACTTGAATGGGGTGGGATGTGGTGGAGGTTGGGGGTTAGGTGTTTCATTTTAATTTGAATTATTTATTTATTTTTTTCTTTTTTTGTTATTACTTCAAACTTGTCTTCATATATATATATATATATTATATGTATGAGACTTGAAACGTTACGAGGTATTATAAATATAGTTTCGAACAGGTGTGCCGGGCGTGCACAACGTACCGTCGTAAATATAAAATTGATATCGGTTATAATTTCGGGTCGTTACAGTCCAGTTCCAGGAGAGAAGATACCGCATTATTATAAGTTCGTGATTACAGGCTCCCCAACAATACGCGAGAGATTATGGTTGGTGGTGGCACTTTCAAAGTTAACAAAAAATTATTTTTAAAAATACCAAAATACCAAAATTATGATTTTCCATTCATCTACTTCCTATGTTAATAACAAAATTTATCCTACATACATTAAAAGTGTCTCTTAACGTGAAACGTTCAATTATAAATTCTATACATTTCTAAATATGCGTGTGTATATGTAAAGTAATGTTTTACAGAGAGACGTTGTTAAATTTGTAGAATTATTGTGTTAATAGTAGTAAATCATTTTAAGATACTTTTGTTTGTATCTATTTTTAAATAAATAACAGATTATTATCTTGAACTTGAGAAATATTTTATTAAGTATTTTTTTTTAATAATTTTTTTAATTTAAATTATAATAATTATTAATACATTAATATTAGTATCATTTATATTTTTTATTTCTATGTATTATCATAATATTAATATATTAATATTAATATCTCATTTATATTTTTTATTTATAATTATTTTCATAGTATTATATTTAATACAATATTTTAATATAATAATAATAATAATAATAATATTTTCACACATATTACAAAGTAATTATTGTTAATTGATGATTAACTGATGATTCAATATGTTAATTGAAATTTTTTTAGATTTGTTGGATAATTTTGGGACAACTTATACAACAATTATTGTTTAAATATTATTTAAAATATCGCATAATTTTTTTTTTTTTTTTTAATATAAAAAATTACTATATTATACACGAAACTTCCTGACATACATTTGTAAAGTTTTGTTTCTCTCTTATTTTTCTTTTAAATAATTTAAATCAAAAACAATAGAAGGGGTGAAATCTTACTGACAAAACTCTTCTTCCTTCTTTACATTTATTTTTTGTTTCCTTCAAAAAAAAAAAATTTTAAAAAATAAACACACACTACCTAAGAAACATAATTCTTCACAGTAGTTGTAGTAGTAATAATAAAAAATAAAAAAAATACAAGAAAAAAAAATGTACGATCGGAAGGGTTCGTAAATCCTGAAAAGATAATTTATGCGTAAACGATATCCGGCTAAAGTAGGATAAAATTTCAAGGAAGGAAACTAAAAGTAAAAGACACAGAATGAGAGAGAAAGAGAGAGAGAGAGAGAGAGAGAGAGAGAGAGAGAAGAAAGATATATAAAAAGAAACAAAAAAAGAAACCGAGAAAAAAAAAAAAGTTGGAGATTTAAGTTTGCGATGACCTCCGGCCGTTTACATTTCTTATTTATTTATACACCCTCGCTCGCGTCCTTTCAGTTTTTATATTCCTTTCACAAGATCATCCTCTCTCTCCCTCTCTCCCTCTTTCTCCTTCCTCCCCTCCGAAGCAAGTAAATTCGCATAAATGTATGTACATTACTATAATTCTCTTTTACCTATGTTTCTTTTCAGTTACGAAGATATCGATTCGCCATCGAGATTACAACTCGTATCTTTAAATACGTACCTGTGTAAGAAATCACCTGAGAGTAAGTAAGAAATACAAACACAATAAAAAGAAAAAGAATGAATGTGTGTGTGTGTGTGTGTGTGTTTAAAAACGTAACAAGATACACAATAAAGATAATTTTGTTCATGAATACTCAAAAAAAAAAAAAATACGAGTGATGATTTGTTAAATGCTTTTGTTGATTATAAATTTTCTATATTTACCACCCCCACCCTTCTTCTGTTCTACCCCCACTCTTTCTCCACGTCTTTGAATTTTATTTTTGCCGCAAAGAAATTGAAACCAAGAAGATTGTTGTGACAAGTGTCTTGTTAAAATACATAGGACATCAACCAACCAATGTGCTTATCTTCTTTTATAATAAGAGAGGGAAAGAGGGGGGGGGTTTGGGGGGTAAAGAGGGAAGGGAGGAAAAATGAAAAAGAAGGAACGAATACAATTATCGTAAACATTTCGCGAATGAAAAAGCTACTATTGCAGCTGCAACGTGAATACGTTTCGAGGTCGTACAAACAACTACTACGAAATAAATATATGTGTGTATGTGTGTGTGTGTGTGTTTACCTATGTAAAAATACATGCATGTATATTGTAACACTTATGGGTTTTTTTATTTTGTATAAAATAATTAGTTGAGCCCTGTCACGTGTTACTGTGGCTCATGTGAGTCAAAATATGACGTTTCGTATTGATAAAAGTTAGGTTATGTTAAAATATTCCCGCGCTTTCATTGAAATCTATGGCCGACAGATGGTGCTGGAGTTATCTGTATCTTTTTCTTTGTTTGTTTTTTTTTTTTTAATTAATTAATTATTTTATCAATAAATTAATGTAATTGGAACTTTTAGGTGTATGCTAATGCAACGTTGTGTCAAAATTTCAAAACAATCTGTAAAGTACTTTTGGAGATTTAAAAAAAAAAAAATACAGAAAAAAAAAGACAGATTCTAATATAACCACCAAGTTAACCTAGAAAATTTCTACAACGTTGATTACATAGTTCGGTATTTATTTGTTTAATAAAAATTTCCATGGAAAATTGCAAAATGGTAAACTTTACCAACCACTTTACCACCACCGCCACCACCACTAAAACCACTTCCAAACGTATAAACATCCTAAACGTGCATGGTCTATCATTTTTGCATAAATATTATCAAAAATAATATACCACGATAATAATAAACTTTATCAAATAATTTAAATCAATTTTTGCATAAATATTATCACAAAACAATAACACTTCGGATAATAATAAACTTTATCAAATAATATAAATAATTTTTTAAAATAAAAAAAAAAAACTCTAAAAAAAAAGCAAAAACCAATAAAAACAAAACAAAAAACAAAAAAATTATAAACAATATATAACATTGTAACAAATAGAAATAGATAAGAGATAGGAATCTACAAGATAGTAATAGAAAAGAAAAGAGAAACAAAGTATGGCAAGAGGTGAGATGAGGTGAGGTGAGGTGAGGTGAGGTAAGGTAAGGTGAGGAGGAAAGTGTCGGGGACACGCACTTAGAAAAGGCGCGTGTGTCCGTCTGTCCGTCCGTCTGTCTGTCCGTCCATCCGTCCACCACCGTTGACGACGTGTGCGTGACGCGGAGGCAAAACTCGGTTCTTCTTCCATACATACATAACACATATGTATGTATGTATGTATATGTGTAAGTATACGTGGCGTGCGCGAAGAACGTGGCGGTATGTACAGCGCACTGCTTCCACTTTTTGCCGATGCCTTTGCTCCCCTTCTAACCACCCTTCGTCCCTTACCATAGATACTCGACCCTTTGGTTTCCTCCCTGCCCCCACTAGGGCCGAGCCCACACTCGTGCTCGCTTACTTGCGCTTGCTCGCGCGCGCGCAAGTTCACCACCCCAGGGTCCAGCCAATCCTTCCCTTCGTCCCCCTCCCCCTCTCCTTATCTTCTTTTTTCTTCTTCTTCTTCTTCTCATCCTCAATCCTCCCCCCTCAATCTTCCCTCCCTCCTACTCTTCTCACTCACTCCTCCTACGAATGGTTGTTGGGTCGCGTCGTCGTAGTTGTTGTGGGCCCTCTCTGACTCTCGGACGCGCGCACCTGCCGCCGGTTCCCACACTCGTTGCCCTCACGCCGGACGTGACGTCACTCCGGCACACCAAGCATTACGCTATACTACCCATCTCTTTCTATCTCGAGCAACGACGGTGGCGGCGGCTCGTGTTCCACATCCACGCGTCCAACCCGTGCCCTTCTTCTTCTTCTTCTTCTCTCTCTCTCTCTCACTCTCTCTCTCACTCTCTCTCTCATTCTGTGCTTCTTTTTCTTTCTTTCTCGTTTGCTCGCTTGCTTGTTCACTCGCTTTAGTGGAAATACTCGAGGAGACGTTGTCGTCGTTGTGTTGCACGTGGAAGAACGACCTTTAAATGCGTCCTCCCGCCAAATCCGTTTTCTTCTGTCTTTTTTGTTTTTATTTTTTATTTTTATTCTTATTTTTTTTTTTTTTTTTTTATTGCTAGTTATTATTTATTTTTTTTGTTTTAATATTTTTTTTTTTTTTTTTTCTCATGGGACTCAAATGACTTTTTTTTTTTTAATTTAAATGAGAGACGATAATTTTATATTTTGTTGATATTCTTGTTATAGTTTTATCAAACTATTATGGTGTTTGGTGATGGATTTTTTTTTTTTAATATATATTTTTAATAGTACTTTTTTTTTTGTATATTGCCTATATGTAAAAGTATTGGATATATTAATATGTTTTAACATAAATTTTGTAATATTATTGTATTGGTTAGTAATCGAAATTTGTGATAGAGTTGGTAATTGATTTTATGATAAAATAATTATAAAATAATTAAATTGGATATATAGGTGACATCTTGAAAAAATAATCAACAAATAGTAATTTTGGTATCAATTATAAATTGATAAATAATAATTATGATAAATAAATAATTAAATTGGATATATAGGTGACATCTAAAAAAAAAAAAATAATCAACGAATAATAATTTTGGTATCAATTATTGGTTTGATGTGTTCCCATAAGTATTTTGAAATTACATTCGATTAAAATACTTGTCAAATTTATCATCAAAGATTTTCATACATTTATCAAATTTTTTTCTATCAAATAAATAATCAAATCAATTTATATTTCTTATACGTTCATGGAAAATTGCATAAAAATTATTATATAATTTTTTAGAAAGAGTGCTTTTGAATTATTTGTAAAATAAATACGTATCAACCTAAACACGTTAAGTTGCAATAATTTCAAAAAAAAAAAAAATAGAAACAAAATTCTTTTTTTTTTTTTTTAATTAAATATTAGAAGACTAAGAATTACAAAAAAAAAAAGATGATATTATACGGTTGAGGTATATCAATCGATAAGGGTGAGAACGTTACGTAGAAGTGTCGTTTGCGGTCACGCATCGTCGATTTTCTATATATCTAACAGCCACATTACATCACCGCAAAAGCCACGCCCCTTTTTAGGTCTCTTCCTTTTCGTGGTTCGATAATTAGACTTTGAATGGAATCGAAACTGCAACGATTGAAATTACGACCACATTGAAATAATATACGACTAGTAGGATACTATAAATAACACCTATCTATATATATACATATATATGAGGAATAATTTTGAATGGGAATTTATGTTAATGGAAACTACTAACTGAAAAGAAACAAGTAATTGAAATTTTTATCAAAAAATCGTACAAAATGTGCCAGTATTTTTAAATCGTCTCATTGAAAATTGTGATATTTGTTATTTAAAATATTGATTAGTTTTCTTATATTTTTTCTTGTAAAAAAAAAAAAAGAACAGTTTTATTATTCTTTTTCTTTCTTTTTGTTTAACACACAGGCCGATAGTTGAATAGTTCAATGGAACATTATTATTCGTAATTTCTTTGTACGAATTGTTTCTCACGAAGGGAATGAACTTGTACCGCAGTAATTTTCGTAGTAGGAAAAATTACTTCGTCTCGATTGAACACCGGAGCAAAGCTATATAATATAATTATACCGAGAAAAGAGGATGAGTCCAGGATAACAAGGTACCAACTGCTTTTCGCGGCAAATCTTATATCACTAATAACCAATCTTCTTTTAAAATCATTACAAGATACAAAATAATTATATTATATATTATATTTTGTTGAAAATATGCATAATGTGCATTGTTTTTTTGTAAAATTTATTTTGAAAATATTAATAAATAAATAAATAAATAAATAAATAAATAAATAAATAAATAAATAAACGTACGAATTTTGGTTTAATACATGCTAACATAAAATATAAAATATAAAAAATAATATTTAGTAGAAGCAAAATTTGGTGCATTTATTGTCGTAAAATATTACTTTAAAACTGCATTGTTTTTATAAAATTTATATTGAAAATATAAATAAATAAATAAATAAATAAATAAAAATAAAGTAAGAACTTTTGTGTGTGTGGTTAACCCTAACATAAAATATAAAAAATAAAAAAATAATATTTAGAAACAAAATTTAATTGCATTTATTGTCTTAAAGTTTTACTTTGAAAGCTGCATAATGCATTATTTTTCTAAAATTTACTTTACAAATATTAATAAATATAAATAAATATAAAAAACGTACGAACTTTTGTGTGTGTGTGTGTGTGTGTGTGTAGTTAACCCTAACATAAAAAAAAAAAAAAAAGAATATAAAAAATAAATATAATTAATATTTTCTTTCTTTAAATCGATCTTTACGATTCGTTTCGTGTTACGGTGAAAATTTTCGGACACGTATCAAAATTCTTGTGTATCCGGTTACCGTCCTGGTTCACGCGAATTCGATCGTACAACTGGGGGGCTGGTGGTTGGTTTTCTGCTATCGCGAAGTAAAGAGACGATCCGTGCCAAGGAACCGCGAACAAACCAGTAAGACTGGTAGAAGAGAGTACTATAGTCATTTTCTTCTCCTTTCCCTTTTTTTTCTCTTTTTCTTTTTCTTTTTCTTTTTCTTTTTCTTTTGCATCATC